AAAAAAAAAAAAAAAAAAAAAAAAGAATATGTGTGTGTGCATGGGTACACATCCGGCAGGGGGTAGGAGGGAGAGACTTGTGTACCCAGAGATTTAGTATTTGAAACAATGGGAAAGAATGAACAGAATTAAATAATAACAACTACCATTTATTGGGTCTGTATTAAATGCCAAACACGTTGCAAAGTGTTTTAGGCACAATATTTCATTTAATTTTCAGAACAACTCAGTGAGGGAGAAACATATGCGCCCATTTTACAGATGAAAAAAGAGACTCACTGACTCACACAGCTTGCGAGTAGGGCCAAGCTCCAGCACTGAGATCCTGATGCCCATGCCCTGAACCGCTATTGGCAACTGCTTTCCAAGGGCTTGCGATGAGAAAGGAAAGGAAATTGGTTTTATGTTGTGGCAGAGGACTTGCAATGAGACATAAAGAACTCTCTGACAATGAGGGCTGTTTAGTTGTAGTCAGAGTAATTAGGCTTGTTAGAGCTCTTCCTCTGAGGGCCTTTACATTTAAGATGAATGGATGCTTCTATGCCTGGATGGTTTGAGGGGAACGCTCTCTGTTCCCAGCATGGGGCTGGCCTGTTTGAACTAACTGACAGCCTCACTGGGGATACAGGATTGCCACTCGAGAAACCGTTAGATAACAGAAGATAGCACAGAATGTGAGCCAAATGGGTCTGGCAGAAAGTGAGGGCTACAGACAGGCAGATGCCACTGCGGTTCAAAGCAAGGGCTTTGTGGTCGGGCGGGCAGGCTTGTGTTTGAGTCCCGGCTGGATCTACTGCTTTTGTGACCTTGGGTACGTTGTCTAACCTCTCTAAGCTTTGGTTTCCTTGTCAGTAAAAAGAGCCTAAGAATAGACCCTACTTTGGAGAGATGCCATGAAAATTAAATAAGATAATCCATGTGAAATGCTTGGCACAGAACCTGGACACAATCAGAATACAATGGGGAGGAGCTGCTGTAACAATGACTATTGGTGGAGTGCGGAGGCGGGAGGCAGCAAGCAGTGCAGAACAGAGCGCTAGGTCGGTGGGGAGCCCAGAAAGTCTTCCTGGGAAACCTGAGTTTTGTCCTGGAGCTTGAAGAGTTAGTCAGGTGAAATCAACGGGAAGGCATAGAGACGGAGGTAGGCGGGGCTCATGTAATGGAGTGAGATTTCAAATTCCCGGTCACTTTCAAAGAAAAATCTGATTTGGTCTGTGGTTGCAGTAGAGAAGGAAGTTGACTACCGGGAAGAGGTGGGAAAAGAGATGAGGTCTTTCATCCTTGTTTCCAAACCCAAAATGTGCACAGAGACAAACCTCAGAGACCTAAACAAGAAATCTGACATCCAGGGCTTCTTTGCCCACTTCTGGGCTCTTGTGGGAGGAAAAGGTGTAAGGGCCTGTGCACATGGCTGAGGGCAGGGCTGGTGGCGGATGGGGTCAGGATCTGAAACAAGGGAAGTTAGGAAATGTGGGTGAGGCCCTTAATGACTGTGCGGGCTGATTCATGTGGGAAACTAGCTTCGAGGCCACATGGAGATCTAGCATCCGGTCAGGCGGGAGGCCAATTTTGAGACCCTGGGCATCTTTGTCTTCAGGGTTGCCAGCTAAGAGTGGGAGTCCCTAGGGGAGCAATCCCTGTGCTAACCCAATTATTCCCTACCAGCCCGCTTTATCTCCCTGATGTGAAGACAAATACCTTAGGAACCAGGTTTTCCAGGAAAGATGCTGCTTGTTTCAGACCCTTTATGCTAAAACATCTGCCAAGTACCCACTGTCAACCCCTTCTGTCAAGCATCACGTAGGCCTTGTCAAAAATGCTAATCCTCAGTTCTTGTCCCTAGAATCTGATTCCGTGGGTTTAGAGATTCAGGAATCTATTTCTAACAAGCATCCAGGTGATTCTTTAGGTAAGGCAAATTTGGAAAAGGCTGACTTAAGAGTCTCTTACATTCCCTTCAGTCCTAAATCTAGACAGCAGAGAGTGTGTAGCAGGAAGGGCCCAGGCTCGTGGCAAGAGGCGGATTCTAGCCAGACCCTGCAGTTCACAGGACCCTGTGCTGGGGAAGCCCTAGAAGCAAAGGAGGCTGCAGGGAAGGAGTTTTCACCCATCAGTAATCAAGAGCCCAACAGAAGTGAAAATGGAAGTCAGGGAACAATTGGTTTTGAGCATCTTCCTGGGACTGGCAGGACAATGTAGCTCTGAGCAGCTCCCACTATACACGAGGGGACACTTAAACCCAAAGACTTTTTAAAACGTGGCTAAATTCTACAGCTAATCAGAGGAGGCAGCAATCCAGATCTCCTGGTCTTCACCCTGTTCTTGTTGGGGTGCACCGCAGGGCACGCATGTTGCCTTGTGGCTTGTGGTAAAGGCACTGTCGTGGAGCTGTCATGGAGCGCCAGTGTCCTGAGTCCCTGGAAATTCTCCCGAGTGGCCTGGAATCGAACACTACCCTGGATTTGATCAATCTATGATCGAGAGAAAGAACCGGGTCTGCGGTGGTGCGCAGGACGGAGGAAAGGCCGTGAAAGCGGGAAGTACGGGAGGCGGGACTGAAACGGAAATAGGCACAAGGCTCACAAAACCTGAGGGCCGCGTCCGGAGGGGTGACCTGACCCAACAAGGCCCCACACCTGGCGATGGCAAAGCTGGGCGAAAACCCCCGCCCCACCCTCCCAAGGTGGGGCAGGGAAAAGGCAGAGTGAGAAGCGAGGTCTCATTTTGCTGAAGCTTTTTAGAAATTAGCTGTGTCAGAGAAACTGAAAGACCAAACAAAACCCCTAAAACTCCAAGCCGATTATTTCATCCACGTGGCACATGAGCAAGCCAAAAAAACGGGGTGTGGGGCGGGGAAAAAGTCACCCGTCCCGCCCCTGCTGGAAGGAAGGGATTTGCCTGGAGAGCAAACTCTGACACCGCCCGGTCGCTGAGTCGGCGCGGCCGGGAGGGAGGGAGGTCGAGGAGGCAGCTCTCACAAAGCCGCCGAGCCGCGGCCCCCTCTCCCCGCCCCCTGCCCGGCCACGCCAGAGCGCGGGGAACCGCCGCGGGCCCTTTAAGGGCCGCGAGGTGCGCGGTCTCTTTAAGGCGGGTCCTGGTGGTTTCTGTTTTCTGAAGGAAGTGACGGGGGGTGGGATTGAATGAAAAGTGCAAAACACAGGCTCTCAGCGCCGGAGCCAGGGGCCGCGGAGCCTGGACGGGGCAGCGCCGTCTCAGCCTCGGGGCCGCCGGGGGCGCGCTGCCGAGCGCTACCCACGTGCGTCCGCGCCTCCTCGCGGGCGACCCCGCGGCCGAGTCCCCCGGCGGAGCGGCTCCCGGGCGCCCCGAACTAGCCCCCAACTTTGGGCGAAGTTTGCCTGAGCCTCTCCCCGCCCCCACGCGGCGCGCCGGGGCCGCGAACGGCGGCGGCCCCCGGGGATGCGCACGTCCGGGGTCCCCCAGGCGCGCCCCGCGCTGCTGCTGCTGCTGCTGCTGCAGCTGCTCGCACCGCTGCTGGGAACGGGTGCGCCGGCCGAGCTGCGGGTCCGCGTGCGGCTGCCGGACGGCCAGGTGACGGAGGAGAGCCTGCAGGCGGACAGCGACGCCGACAGCATCAGCCTCGAGCTGCGCAAGCCCGATGGCACCCTTGTCTCCTTCACCGCCGACTTCAAGAAGGTGAGGCGCCCTCACTCTCCGGGGTGGCATCTTCGGGCCTGAACCCCCCCCCCGCGGGGTCTCAGGCGCCCTCTTGCCTGCAGCCGGGAAGACGCGTCCAGGAGGAGGACGCGGCTGGCCCAAGGTCACGCTGGGCTCTTCTCTACACCTCTTTGCCCACTCCTCAGCGCCCATCCCTTCGTTCTCCCCAAAGAACCCCTCTGCTGCCCCTTCTCATTCCCTCCTCCAGTGCTCCCAAAGCCCCCAGGTGCTGACCGTCCTTCAGAACTCCTGCTAACGACTGGACTCCCTTCTTGGAGTCATTTCCCTGTGCTCTGGTGGGAAAAGTCCTAGGCGAGGTGTTCTCACTGTGGGTTCTCGCTGTGTGATCTAGAGCAAGCGAGTCTTTCCTCCTATGGGCCTGGCTTCTCCCCGCTGTACAGGGCAATGAGGGGTCTGCGAGGCCTCCCAGCCCTGACATTGTGGAGCCCCACTGTCACCTCTTCCACTGTTTTGCTTTTCTGGGGAGAGCTGTCTGTCCCTGGTCCCTCTCAAGCCGGGAAAAGCCCTGTCTCCTTGGTCTGGAAGGCTGGGGCGCTTGCAGCAGGAGGATCCTAGAGAGAAACCCCGGCTGAGGCCCCCTCCCTCTGGGAGAAGCGCTGCCCTTCACTCTGCCTGGCAGAGAGACGAGCCAACCCCCCTATTTTGTCCCAGATTAGGGTTGGGGAGTTAGAGACCAGCCCTCTCTCAGAGTGTGTGTGCGCGCGCGCGTTTGTGTGTGTCTGTCTGTCTGTGTATGTGTGTGTGTGTGTCTGTGTGTCTGTGTGTTGTGGAGGGAACAAGAAGGGCCTTGCACCCAGTGGGCTGGGGGGTTTTCAGAAAATGGGCCTGGAAGGATAGTGAGTGACTAAGCTGGAGGAAAAGAGGGTGGGTGAGTCAGGTATTCAAGGGAGTGTTCCGTCTCCTTCCCCCAGCCCCTCTTCTCCTAAAGAGAGGCCTGTGAGGCACTGTCCCTGGGGGAGGTGTAGGGGTGAAGCAGATTAGACAGCTGGGGGAGCTCAGGCCCCGGGACCCTTGCTGGAGCCGCCCCTCTTTCCTCCCTCCTAGAGACAGGGTACTTTAGAGGAGAGGTGGCAGAGTTTGGGGAGTCGTTAGGGACCCAGCCAGATTGCCATAGTTAGCAGGAGTGGGGGATTACGCTTGACCGCTAGAGGGAGGTGGAGGAGGGGTGTTGAGGCTTGACCGCTAACTGCCCCAGGGCCACTGACTTGCCACTGACATTGGACTTAAGCAGGCAGGTGGGGGTGGGGGGGTGACCATTCACAAATGGGAAGACTCTGCATCCCATTCTTACACATCAGGCCTAAGCTAGGCTCTCAGACGTAGGTAGGGGCAGACGAGTCTGTGGGTGGAGAGAGGGAAGCTGATAAGGTCGGCTTCCCTACCCTGCCTCCTCACCTAAACCTTAGGGGACTTTTATTAAGTGTGTTCTGTTTCTGAAAAATCTATATTAGTGGCTGGATCCATCAGGAATCAGGGATCTAATCTTCTGTCCAAGCCCTTTGTCCTTGAAAGTTAGCCTCAGGCCAGGCTGTGACTCCCACCCTCCTGCCCAGTGGACATCATCTTGTGGCTGCACTAGAACCCTGCAAAGAGACTTTCCTGGCTGTGGCCAGGACAGTGAAAGGCAATTGATAGGGCTGAGCTTTTATAGCCTTTAGCTACAGCTGGAAGATTTTTATTGCTCTGACCTGAAGGGAGAGACTAAGAAGTGTCCAGGTAGCTGTGATGGGGATGTAGTAGTGGCTGATGGCTGGGGTGGGGTGCGGGGATTGGCGTGACGGTATGGTGGGCATCTGCCTGCCCAGTTAGAAAATGCATTTGGAGGGTGTGAGCACCTCATTTGACTGCCTGCAGTGGTTCAGACCTCCATTCAGGTTTCTGAAGTCTGCTTTCAGGTTAGCCTCTGACCCAGAAGCTGCCATTTCACACCCACCTCTGGCATCTCCAATTTCATCAGCAAGGGAGGGAATTGGGAGTGGAAGGCACAGAAAGGAAACCAGCTTTCCCAAGTCCCTTTAAGTCTAGGCTTCTCCACTGGCCTAGGATGGGGTGCAGTTGGAGAAAGCAGTGTGGGGGAGAATAGCCTCTACCCTCGCCCAGGCCACTCACCACCTGCACCAGCCACAATCCTTCCAGGGTGGGTCACCTCTCAGTTCTCAAGGCCTCGTGCCCGAAAGTCCTTGGAAGATTTCCACAAGAAAGCTCGGTCTAAAGCTCGGTCTAGAAGGAATGATTTTTCTATAAGAGAAAGACAGGCTGGGTGTGGTGGCTCACATCTGTAATCCCAGGATTTGGGGAGGCTGAGGCAAGCATATCACTTGAAACCAGGAATATGAAACCTTCAGGCCAAATGAGACCCTGTCTACAAAAAATTAAAAATTTTTCTAGGCACGCCGGTGTGTGCCTTGTAGCTCCAGCTATTCAAGGAGGCTGAGGCAGGAGAATCACTTAAACTCAGGAGCTGAGGCTGCACTGAGCTGTGATTGTGCGTCTGCACTGCAGCCTAGGAAATCATGCTTTTTATGTTTCTTGTACCAAACTCATTTGCAGTGGTTTGGGGAAAATCCCTAATCTACTTTGGAAGAGTGATGTTCGCCATTTGATCACTTTGTGGAGAAACAGCCCAAACTGAATGAGACAGACTTGGTTTACCATTTAGTAGCAGGTTCACCCTGGGCAAGCTGTTCGATCTCTCCAGGCCTTCACTTCGTCGTCTATAAAACAGAGATAATAATAGTACATATCTTAGGGTTACTAGGATAATCAAACAGGGCAGTGCCTATGGCATACTCGCTCTGTATTAGATACTGTGTTAAGTGCTCGAGACATAGGACCCATTAGCTTTGCTAATTGTGGCTCACACAGCATTTCAGCAAGGATTCTCTCTGCTAGCCTTGGATCTGAAGACACTGAATGACAGACCCAAGGTCATGCAGAAAAGTCAGTATTGAGTCTGGAGGAGCCTTGAGCTCTTCATCGTAACCTCCTTGAAGTTCCAAAATTGCTGGCCAGCCCCTCAGAGCAGAAGCAGCCATCCTTGTCCTGACAGTCCCCCCAGGGCAACAGCGAGCCCCACTGTGTGGGATGGGACCAAGTCCTCTGTCTAATTCCCAACTTCATCCAGCCCCCTCTCTCCAGCCCTTCCCACCCCCATTTGCCTCTACCTGAGCTGGAGGTCTGACAGCCTAACTCTTTCCCACACTGCCACCCTGGACCTTGAAGCAGGGAAGCATCATCCCCCTGGAGGACACATAGCCTGGGGCTGTGAAACCATCACGCATTATTGCAAGCCCTGCCCAGAGGCTGAGTGAGGGCCATCCTGCGGACTGAGCTGCAGCTCTGAAAGAATGCCACAGCTCTGAAAGAATGCCACAGCTCAGTGCCTGCTGGCTTTGCTGCACCTCGCAATCACCTGCGGAGCCTTGAAAACTCCCAATGCTACACACCCTACCCATGAAATCAGAGTATCTCGGGGTGGGAGTCGGGCAGCAGTTTTTTGTTTGTTTGTTTTGTTTTTTGGTCATTCCAATGTGCAGCAAAGTTTGGGAGCCACTGGCACAGTGGCTCTAGGGGAGGAGCGGGGACCTGGAGAAGCAGCCAGGTCGGGTTGTTAAATGAAGGTAGGGCCCAGACTCAGTCACATATTTGAAACCTGTCATCTTACCCACACTAATCCTAATGTGTTTTCAGCGGCACATACGCTTCGGCCCTCAGTACACAAACTAATTCACAGTGCGCCCTCGGGAGGCAAGACTCTCCTTGTACTCCACATCCTATGGGTGTAATGAGCCCTGGACGTAATCACTAGCATATCTAATCATAGGTGTGTCACCGTCCCCTCTCTCTAACCTGGCTGTTTGACCGCCCTCCTGGTCCACCTTCTGGAAGCTGGTATTCCTGCCAATTTCGCTTTCACCTCTGTCCCTCAGTCCAAGTGACCAAAAGCTGGGAAGAGGATGAGTTATGCTCCAGGCAGCCTGCTTTGACACTGACCGGATTGGGGCGGGGGGGCGATACTGACAGATACGAAGGTCATGGTGATGGCATCAGGGCAGCGGGCGGTGGGGATCTCCTTCCCCTCCCAGCATCAGGGGGAGAAGGAGACACAGACTCCAAAAGCATGGAAAGACGGGATCCTGAGGGCCCATGGCCAGAGCCTTGGAGGGAATAAGCAAGATAAGGAAAACCGTGCGGCTGTGTGGGTCAGTTCAGGGCCACTTTGGAGGGACAAGGACCCAGGGAGGTCGGAAGCTTGAACCCTTCCCTGGGCACTGATGGGTGAGTGGGAGCCAGAGGAAGGGACAGTCCAAAGAATGCTAGAGCCCCTGTGCCTGGGGACCCTGGTCTGGGGGCAGGGGAGCAACATGGGAAGCCTTGAAGTGTCATCAGTGAAGATGTGGAATGTGCAACGTCCATTTCTCTGCCTAAGAACGTTTATCCCAAGAAGATATCACAGCATATGGATGTGGAACCGAGAAGCTTTCAGGGCCCAGTCTGCCCCTACCCTGTCAGTGTGAGCGCCCTTTAGATTTGTGTGGATGCATCTGACAGATGGAAAGTCTCCTTGGAGAACAGAAGACAGTGGAGTTGCTTTCGGGAGAGGCCCAGACTTTTCTGGAGCTCAGAGCATTTCGTCAGAGGTATTTACAAGAAGTCACCAGATGGAATGACTAGGCTTACTGACATGGGGCCCTTGGGTCTCCCATCCCCTCCTCTGCATGTGAGGAATTCCTCCTTAGATCAGGGATGGGCAGCCCCGCCTGAGGGGTCAGACGCACTCCCTGGAGCTTGGCCAGCCTCCCACACCCCTGAATGCTAGGTCCAGGTGGAGTCCTAGCAACAGATCAATAGGCCCAGTGAAGACTTCCACCTGGGATAATGGCGTATGCTGCTGGGAAGCTGGTGGGGAGAGTGAGTTAGTCCCTCTCAGGCTTCCCGAGGCACAGAGAGGTGGTGGAGATAATTTTGGGACAGACTCCTGTTCTGCAGGCTGAGGGCCCAGCCTTGAGGTGAGGATTGCATAGGGTCTAGAGATCACCCATGGAGCAGTCCCTCATGTCACACACGGCTTCATGTGATCCTCATTGCCACAGATAGCACGAGGCAATGGTACCTCTGTGTGTAGACGTTCGGCTGAGGCCTGGAGCTCTGAAGTGAGGCTGACAAGATCCAGCAGCTGATGATCCGGGATTAGGACCCAGGGTTCCTTCCAGTATATCCTGACTGCCTGTCTGCCGTGGCACCATGAGTGGGCTCCTTCCAGAAGGCTAAAGAACCCTGGGGAGGGAACTAGAGGGGAGAAGGAGGCCAGAAAAACCTTGGTGCAGAGGTAAAATCCACAGAGACCTTCCTTTGTACGTGGGCTGGACCCCTTCTCCCACGCTGTCCCCTCCCGTGGATGGAGTACTGACTTCTTGGCCATGCCTGCAACTCTTCTCTCCCTGCACAGCCTCTCGGGGAGTTCAGTAAGGGGGTTGAGTTTAGAAAATATCTCACCGAGGCCAGGCGTGGTGGCTCACACCTGTAATCCCAGCATTTTGGGAGGCTGAGGCAGGCAGATCACTTGAGGCCAGGAGTTTGAGACCAGACTGATCAGCATGGTGAAACCCTGTCTCTACTAAAAATACAAAAATTAGCCGGGCGTGGTAGCAGGCACCTGTAATCCCAGCTACTCTGGAGGCTGAGGCAGGAGAATCACTTGAACCCGGGGGGCAGAGGTTGCGGTGAGCTGAGATGGCATCACTGCACCCCAGCATGGGCAACAGAGTGAGACTCCATCTCAAAAAAAAAAAAAGAAAATATCTAACAGACACTAATGAGCTCTCACTATCTACGTTTTTTCCTGCCACTTACCAGCTATGTGACTCGGCAAGTCACTTAACCTCTCTGAGCCCCAGGCTCCTTGCCTGTACTTCAGAGACAATAGTGTGATGCTCGGGGCTCAGTGTTCACAGTGATGAAGAGGCCCTTTGGAGAGCAGAGGCCCTCGTGGGCATGTGAGGAGCAAGGTGCCAGTGCCCACAGGCCGGGAGTTCCCTCCGCCCCACCGTGAAGCGTGTTGCTGCAGCTGCTGCTTTTCCGCTGTAGGGACCAAAGCCTCATGAGGAGCTAACATCCCTGAAGTTGGCAAGTGTTGGAGTGGCTGCCACTAGGGAGTCAGATAAAGGGCAGGGAGCAAGGGAGGCATCAGGGCTGGGAATGCGGGTGAGAGGGAAGCGTGGAGCCCTGTCTTAGGAGCCCTGAGTCAGTGGCACGGTGGGGCACAGTTGATCCACATAAAGCCTCACATTGTTCCCACGGCAGTCAGGACTGTGGTGGCCTTTGGGATTCGGCTGACAGAGCACTAGAAGCTCTGGGGAGGGCTGGGGCCAGGGGCACTGCCCCGGGCCAGTGGTTTTGCTAATGCTCCGTGACAAGCAGCCTCTGTCCAGGCCTAGCACTGGGGGTGCTGGCATCTCATCATGGGGCGGCCTGAGTCCCTGGGTACTGGCCTTGGAATGTACGTGGAATCCATCCACCCCATTCCTGCTCGAGGATCCTGGGCAGAGCAGCCAGGGTGCTTCCGGGTCTGCTGTGGGACTAGGAAGGCACCACTTCCTGGCTGGCTCTCTAGGCTAAACCCTCTCTCCCTCTGTAGCCCAGTGAAGCCAGCCCCTTCTCTAGCCATAAAGCAGCTCCAGCCAGGAGCAGAGGAATAAATATTTAGATTGGCTCAGCCTGGGCCCCAGAATCACACTCTCTAGTGTGATGGGAAGGAGACCAAGATGGCAGAGGACACTCCCAGAAGAGAGCACCAGCTGTGGAGGAGCAAGGGGGCTGAGGGAGAGGAGGGTGGGGGCCAAGCGGCTTCATGCGGCCCTGCAGCGATGACCTGTGGCTTGGGCCGTGACCAGCACTGGACAGTGGTGGCTGGAAGCAGCGCGTGGAGGGAAGGGGTGGTCTACTGCCCTGGCCCCTTTTGCTTTGTGTTCCCCTGCAGGCTGGCCTCCCCCCAACCCCCAGGGCTTTGTGGGAAGGGGCTGAGGAAGAGCACTTGGAGAGTGGGGGCAGCTAGGGGCCGTGATGGGAAGGCAGGGTGCCAGAGGAGGCTGGGCAGGCTGGAGCGAGGTGATGGCACGTGGTGAGAATGTGTTCCTGTGTGTGTGTGTGTGTGTGAGAGAGAGAGAGAGAGAGTGTGTGTGTGTGTGTGTGTACACATTTGAGAAGAAGCGTCGGGGAGGAGGTGTGTGAGGAGAGTTGAGCAATGGGGATGGCGATGCTGGGTGTGTCCTTATGCTGGGCATGAGATGGGGAATTCAGAGGGTGGGCTGGGCATGGGGACTGCGGAGAGGGGTGTGATGAGAGGGTGGAGAGCCGCTTCTGCCAAGACTGGGAGACTGTGTGGGAGGAGATGGGCCTGGATGTGCGCCTGTGGAGGGATGGGAACATGGAACAGGAGCCACTGGGAGACTTTGTGGGAAGGAGATTGAGACCCAGTGAGCCTGTGAGAGACGACATCGTGCGCACGAATGGGGAAGCCGCGTGAGCCTGTGCGTCAGTTCAGATTAGGCTTGGCCGTGAGTAATATAAACCCCCAGGAACAGTGGCTGATGCCGAGGCAAAACAGCCTGTTTCGTTCTTCCCAATGTTATCTGAGTCTGGAAGCCACAGTCAGGGCTGGTGTGACAGTCTCGCTGTCCCCTGGGTGCCGGGGGCTCCCTCCCCACCCTCAGTGCTGAGCACAGGATGTCTGCCCGAGGTGCCCTTCCCAGAGCGGTGCTCTGCCGTGTCTCAGCGCATTCACCCACTGTGGCTGAGCCAGAACAGCCTTCTCTCTAGGAGACACAGGTGGATCCCAGTCAGACAGCATGGCAGGGATGGGCACAGGGAGGAAGTGAGTATCTGGACGAGGGCTACACTGGGGAGCCTGGACCAGCATGATCACTGGACTCAGGCAGGAGGTCTGGGCTTCTGGCCCTGTCTCTGCCACTGTGTGACTCACGGTTACTTCCCTGCCGCAACCTCACTGGGCCATGAACTAGATGATCCCCTAAACCTTCTTGAAGCCAAAATAGCCGCTGGAGCACTTCCAGCCTGCAGGAGCCCAGCTACAGGCAAGGCCAAGAAGAAAGAGTCTGCACGTTGGAGGCCAGCAGGTTGATGGAGGCCCTGGAGCATTCACTCCTTCCTGCAGCTATGAAGCATCGAGCCCCAGCTATGCACCAGACCCCAGGGCCACCATTTGAATAGGCTGGAGTCACTGTTCTTGAGCCAGAGGCAGGTCACAGAGGGCCTGGATGACTTACTGCCTGGGCAGAAGATGCCCCGAGAGGACAGGGACCATGTGCCTGGGGCGTTAGACTTTAATCAGAGTCTGATTCAGCTCCAAACCACAGGTCCCTTCATGTCACCCCAGGCTCAAACCCACCCGTGACCCTGCCCTGTGAAGGTTGGAGGAAGAGGAAGCCCCAGAAACTTGCCAGGAAGTCTGAGGTGCAGGGAGTGGAAAGTGGGGGGATGCTGGTCAGAACGATGGAGCCCTGTTACCAAACAGACCAGAACATAGGGCTGCCCATTCCCTCTCAGGGATCAGCAAGTGGAATGTGCTTTTCTGGAGAAATAAGACAAAAGAGACTGGAGAATTTGGGGTGTAAAGAAGTCCTGGCAGGCCAGGCAGGCGTGTTAGAGGGGTGTTCCTGCCTCCTGTTCCCCTCTTATTTGTGTCATGCCGTTTGGTAGTTGCAGAAACCACGAGTCAGAGCGGCCACATTCCCAAGGCAGGTGCGCTGAGGGCTTTAGGCAGGGTGCCGCTAAATAGGCGTGATGGACAGTGGGTCCTAATCCTGCCTCTGCTGCTGGCCAGCCCAGGCATCAAGGGCAAACCCCCCAACCTCTATGCACCCGAGTTCCAGTTCTTTTAGCTGAACATCAAGGAGATGAGACTAGTTGATCCAAGAGGCAATTATGCATTCTGGTTAAGATAGCTCAGGCTTTGAAGTCAGACTGTCTGGGTTAAGATCCTGGCTGTGTTTCCTTTTAGCCCATGACCTTGAGCAGGTTACCCAATCCAAGCTCTGTAACAGTCATAGTTCCTACCGCTTGTTGTAAGGATTTTAAAGAGAATCATACATCCTTCTGACCCACGGAAACAATGATTTTTCTCTTCTAGTTATAAACTTCAATAACGCTGTCCTACACAAATCAGGAGATACAGAGGAAATCCTCTGTCTCAGGGAGAAATCCTCATTCCCTCTCAGCACCCCCAGTCAGTTCCCATTTTGACAGCATTTTGTTATTATAATTCATGATGCTATTAATACAGAAGCAGAAAAAAAGCTCAGATAGATTTCTTTCATCGTCTAGTCTAGTCCAAAAGTTCAAATACCTTCTCTTGCCAATGGTAATCAGGTGATGTCACCAAGGAAAGAGACCCCTGAGCAGCCGTGAGACTGCCGGGTATTTCATGCACCTTTGGTGTTGGAGAAGATGCTGTGAATATCCAGATAGGCTTCCCTCCAAAGAGTCCGAGCTGAAAATACTGGGGAAGTGGATTTCGGATCCTTCCTGGGGGATCCTGCCAGGGACATGGCCTGGCTCAAGCTCTGGTAGGGGAAGTCTAGTATCAAGTCTCACCTGGCAGGAATTGAGCCCAGAATGGAAAGTGCTACAGGCAGGGCAGCCTCCCTCTGTCCTCAGCCGACCTGAGTGAGGGAAGGATCAGATAGCCCAGCCGGGCAGGACAAGGAGATTGCAGCCATCAAGACCAAGAAGGGATTTCCTGTTGAGAGGAAGCAGGGGTTAAGCTGAGCTCTGATTCACCTTCCTCACAAGTCTCCAGGATCATAAGGAACCTAATGGAACCTTCCTCAATAGCTGAGCTCAATTTCCCTTTCTGGAAAACCTTCCCCTATACTTCCACACCTCCTTGTTCCGGAGATCATTTACAATAAAAGGAAGTAAGAGAAACTTCTGTGTAGAGTTAAAGGGCTGCAGAAATACATGGGCATTTGTGAGATGACATGCACTCATTTGTTACAGATTGCCCACAAGGCTGGCTGGTCGCCTACAAGAGTAATCCCAGCCAGCACATACCCCGCGTGAGAATCTTTCAGATAATTTACTTAGTCCTCACTACAGCCCTGTCACATAACTGTGGGATCATCCCCTTTTTACACATCAAGGAAACTGGGGAAAAGCCTGGAGGACCCACTAACGCAATGCAGCTTTAGGGTGGAGCTGTGAGTTCCCTGCTGCATGTACTGGGACTCCAAGCGGGGTGCTCAGACCCTGTTGCTGAGGCACCTCTGTTCTCACCTGTGTACAGTAAGTACTCAGTGACTGTGTGGACGGGCTGGGTCCCCAGGTATTGATAGATGATGCACAGGGTTGTCATTCTAAGTCTCTGCAGAACCATAGGGGTTCCCAGCAGAGAATGGTCACTGAGGGCAGGTTGCCTTCACCATAGGAGGGGCCTTGACAGATGTAGACCACTTCTGACTGGGACCCACTAACTTCTCACTGGGAGCAGAGTTAATCAAGTCACAGAGATGGGTAGGAAGGCAAGGGGCTGCTTCCCATGTGGTGAGCAGTGCAGGTAGGCAGAGCACAGAGCTCCAGCAGCCAGATAGGGAAAGGAACCCAGCCCACCCTGCAGCCCTCCATCCTCCTGCAGACCCCCATTTACATGGTGAGTCAGTAACAGGAAGGAGCCCTTGGATGGTGGCAATGCCATTAGCAACCCCATGGGGGAAAGGGGAAGTGGGGAGGGAAGGAAGTAATGAGGCACCCCAGCGCCCTCAGGCAGGAAGGCTGCAACAGCTGCCGCCAGCCTCCCACTCTGCCCTCACCCTGTCCTGGCCCCCCCACCCCACTCACTCAGAGGTGGGTGGCCAGGAGCCTGGCCAATCAGAAGCACCAGGGGCACGTTGAGACCTCTCCCCAAATCTACTGAATAAGAATGTCTGAGATTTCTAGCTATTGGAACTACAAAGAAAAAAACTCAGAGAAAGAAACTTGGAATTGGTACTTGAAAAAGTCAAGCGCTCCTCCATGAGGCCCTAGTCAGGTGGCTGTGGAGGCCCTGACCCACCTGATCAGGGTGGCGTTAAGGAGTTCTGCCAAGGGGGATCATCAGCTGTGAATAAATAAGGAACCAAAAAGAGGTGATGTTTGCTTCAAGGTGAAGCTTCATCCTTTTAAAAGGTTCTCTATGGAAAACTCTAGTGGTTCACTTTGTCAATATTCCAGGAAGCTTTGGGACATTTGGGGTGTGTTCATTCTTTTAAGTCACGGGCTTAAATGGAAAAGATAAAAATTCCTAGACCAGCAGGAGGGAGGTGTCTGTTGCCAGGCAGTGTCCAGGCGTCCCCTCTGGGGCCCAAGCTGAGTACCCGCTGGGCTGGTGGGAAGGTCTCACACCCTCCAGCTGTTCTCATCCTCCTGCCCTTCTTTAGGATGTGAAGATCTTCCGGGCCCTGATCCTGGGGGAGCTGGAGAAGGGGCAGAGTCAGTTCCAGGCCCTCTGCTTTGTCACCCGGCTGCAGCACAACGAGATCATCCCCAGCGAGGCCATGGCCAAGCTCCGGCAGGTAAGTGCCCCACCAGGCCTGCCCAGCCCAGCTCCTGACCTGCAGCCCTGACCTGCAGCCCCGACCCCTGCAGCCATCCTGGCTCTCAGCCCGGATCGCCCAACCTCAGCCTCCCACCCGGCTCCTCATCCTCACACTGTTCCTGGACCCTCTGCCCTTAAACCGCCCTCATCTCTGCCACCCCATTCACCCTAGGGTCCTGAGTCCCTAATTTTGCCCCAGGCCAAACCTGACCCCGGAGCTGCAGATCACTAACTGAACCCCATCTCCCAGATTTCTCCCGTCCAGTTCCAGCACCTCCCTCTGTGTGACAGGGGTCACACACTTGTCTTGGGCTCTGAGGTCAGATCAAGCATCACATCTCCTCTGTCACTCATTAGTTGGGTGACATTGGACAAGTTATTTTTTTTTCTTAATTTTTAAAAGAAAGAAAGAAAAAGAATTAAGGAGAGGAAGAAAGAGGAAGAAGGAGAGAGAACGGGGGTGTTGCTTTATTGCCCGGGCTAGAATGCAGTCTAAAAATGGGTATGCCTATAATTGTGCTTAATAATAGAGACATGAACAAAAAATGAGGGAAGAAAATAACAAACAAGCAGCCAACCAATATTTCATTGAAACCTGTAAATAGATGTGATGTGGTACTGATAAGAGTGTGTATTTTGTGTATTTAAAGTGGAGAGTTCTATAAATGTTAAGTTTACTTGTTCCGGATCTGAGTTCAAATCCTGGATATCGTTGTTAATTTTCTGTCTCATTGATCTGTCTAATATTGATGTTGAAATCTCCCAATATTATTGTGTGGGAGTCTAAGTCTCTTTATAAGTCTTATATATCTGGATATTCCTGTATTGGGTGTGTATATATTTAGGATCTTTAGCCCTTCTTGTTGCATTGATCCCTTTATCATTATGTAATATCCTTCTTTGCTTCTTTTGATCTTTGTTGCTTTAAAGCAGCTCCTGCTATTTATTTATTTATTTATTTTTGCTCTCCATTTGGTTGGTAAATCTTTCTCCATCCCTTTGTTTTGAGTCTTTGTGTATCCTTGCATGTGAGATGGGTCTGGATGCAGCATACCGATAGGTTTCGGCTTTTTTTGCCTGCCTGTGTCTTTGGACTGGGGGATTTAGTCGATTTAAATTTAGAATTAATAATAATATATGTGAGTTTAACACTGCCATGCCATTTAATGTTAGCTGGCTGTTTTGCCTATTAGTTGATGTAAATTCTTGATTATGTTGATGCTCTTTACTTTTTGGTATTTTTTAGAAAGGCTGATACTGGTTGTTCCTTTCTATGTGTAGTGGTTCTTTCAGAAGCTCTTGTAAAGCAGGCCTGGTGGTGATGAAATCTCTGAGTGCTTGCTTGTTCACAAAAGATTTATTTTTCCTTCGCTTGTGAAGCTTAGTTTGGCTGGATGTAAAATTCTGGGTTGAGAGTTCTTTTCTTTAAGGATGTTGAATATTGGCCCCCACTCTCTTCTGGCTTGTAGGGTTTCTGCTGAGAGATCTGCTGTGAGTCTGATAGGCTTCCCTTTATGGGTAACCCGACCTTTCTCTCTGGCTGCCCTCAGTATTTTCTCCTTCATTTCAACCCTGGTGAATCTGGTGATTATGTACCTTGAGGTTGGTCTTCTTGAGGAATATCTTTGTGGTGTTCTCTGTATTACCTGGAGTTGAGTATTGTCCTGCCTTGCTAGGTTGGGAAAGTTTTCCTGAATAATATCCTGAAGCATATTTTCCAGCTTGGATTGATTCTCTTCGTCACATTCAGGTACACCTATCAAACGTAGATTAGGTCTTTTCACATAGTCCCATATTTCTTGGAGACTTTGCTCATTCCTTTTTATCCTTTTTTCTCTAATCTTATCTTCTCGTTTTATTTAATTAAGTTGGTCTTCGACTTCTGATATCTTTTCTTCTGCTTGATCGATTCGGCTGTTAAAACTTGTGCATAGTTCGTGAAGTTCTCGTGTTGTGTTTTTCAGCTCCATTAATTCACTTATATTCCTCTCTAAATTGTGTGTTATTGTTAACATTTCGTCAAACCTTTTTTCAAAGTTCTTGGTTTCTTTGCATTGGGTTAGAACAAGTTCTTTTAATTCCCAGAAGTTTCTTATCATCCACCTTTTGAAGCCTGCTTCTGCTAATGGAACACAGTCTTTCTCCATCAGGCCTTGTTCCGTTGCTGATGAGGAACTGTGATCCCCTGTAGAGGGAGAGGCGTTCTGATTTTGGGTATTCTCAGCCTTTTTAGGCTGGTTTCTTCCCTTCGTTATAGATTTATCCATCTGTGGTCTTTATAATTACCGTCTTTATAGTTGGGTTTCTGAATGGAACGTCCAACTTGTTGATTCCCGGCGCTAAAATCTGAGCAACCCACTGCGCCGGCCAAAACAGCGGCGTTAAGATTGATGGTGCTTTTCTGACTCTGCACCAAGAACCGCCGCACCAAGGCAGCGGCAAAACCGCCTCGCCGGCCACAAGAGTCGCGCTGGCGGCTTGTGGGGCTCCTCTGCTGGGAATCTCCTGGTGCGTGAGCAACAAAAATTGATCTGAAAGTGTGGCGTCCTCTCGTTCTCTGCGCTTTCACTGGGAGCTACAATCCCGAGCTGCTAGTGATCAGCCATCTTGGATCTCTCTCTGGACAAGTTACTTTAAAAGTCACAGTTTTCTCATTGAGAAAATGGGTTGTAGGGGAATTCAGTGTGCTAACATATGTAACGTGTTCAAAACCCTCAAACCTGCTGGCCCGCTTCTGGTGTCTCAGACTTAGGGCCTTGCCCCAGGCTCATCTAGGTTCCCTGGCCTGTCCAGCAGAGTCCGCCCTGGGTGCCTCCTCACCCCTGCCCTTTGCCTGCTTTCGCAAAGGGACTTGGTTCCCTGGATGTTGGAAAGTACGTGATTCCAGAGGTTATATGCCCTGGCACAGCTTGCCTGGCCCACCCACCTCCAACTCCCAACCACACCTCAGCATTCTCAGTCCAGCCCCAGAGGTCAGCCCAGTGGCCAGCACGTAGTTTGGGAAGCGTCCATTCTGGATAGAAGCTGAAAAGGCTCGACTGTACTCTGGGCATTGGTTTCTCTGCCAGTTGCAGAGGGTGGGGCTGCCACCCTGCAGATGGCCCCAGCGTTCTAAAGGCAGTAAGCCTGGGCTTGCCTGACTCTGGAGAGTCGGGGAAGATGGACAGGGAGCATTCTGAAGCCAGGTGGGAGTGGCTTCTCTCTTGCACACAGAAAAACCCCCGGGCAGTACGGCAGGCGGAGGAGGTTCGGGATCCGGAGCAGCTGCACATGGATGTTGCTGTCAACTTCAGCCGGGGGGGCCTGCTGAGCCCCCATCTCCACAACGTGTGTGCCGAGGCCGCGGATGCCATCTACACCCGCCAGGAGGACGTCTGGTTCTGGCTAGAACAAGGTCAGCTGGGAGCTGGGCACTGCCCACTGCTGGGTGGAGGGAAGGGGATGGGGAAACAGCACAGAGCAGTGGAGGAGGGCAGGGACATCATCAGCTGAGTCTCATTATTAGCCTTTCATTTGTTCAGGGGACATTTACTGATCACCTGCAGGGATGTATTGACACAGGACTCAGAGATGTAGACACTCCGTTCCTGTCCCCCAGCAGGGCAGATCTGCAGAGTTAAGTGTGATAGAGTACCATGATGCTACAGGCATTCAGGGAGGGACCCCCACACCAGGCTGCAGTTAGTCTGGGAAGGCTACCTGGAGGAAGTGGCACCTGTGTGACACTTCTAAAGTGAGAAGTGTCAGCCAGAGGAACAGACCCTACTCCAGGCAGGGCACACAGACTCTGCTAGGCCCTGTGGAGGGAGATTCCCAGGTACTTCCCCTCATCCCTGCCCTTAGTGAGGACACAGAGATGGGACCTTCTGTCATGGAAGTTGGGCACCTTCCACTGCCACCTCTTGGAAATCAGCTTCGGGCTTCCCGGTGCCATCATCTCTCCTGCAAGATCCTTGGGAGCACCTCTCCCCTCTGCATGGTCCCTGCCTTCCTGACTTCTGTGACTTCCCAGCTGGTCCCTCTCTGGGTACCTTTCCCAGGACTGCCCTCAGGCCCTCTGTGTGGAGGGGTGGGGGAAATGGCGCCATTCCCACTCCAGGCCCCTGTGCCTTCTGCCATGAGCACTGGAGAAATGCCTGCTCCTCCCAGGGCAGGCCCAGATTTAGAAATGCCCAACGGAGCTGTGGTCTTGCCCTCTACACACATACATCCTGCACCCCAGACTATGGCGCAGGCTTGATGTAAGCATCCCCCAGAAGCGGGCCCCTCCCATACAGCCCCTGAGCCAAACCCGCCGGTCCCTTCCATCTCCCCCAGCGCCCCTCATATGCGCTTTCCCATTGGCCCCAAGCCCTGGCCACCCTGACCTGCCCCTCTGGGTGTGCTT